TGTACTAGGAACCGGTCGACAGCGACGTCATTTGTGCGTGGCGTTCAACAACGGAAACAAAGAAAAACAACTTTAACAACAGGAGGATGAAGGACGCTGTGATTGGAGCTGTGTTTTTGTTGTGTCTCGCGGGTTTCACAATAATGGACATGGAATGTCGACGTATACGTAAAGCGACTGAAAGAACGGAAAGGAGGACTAAGAATCTCCAACGACAACTGGCAGTGCTACATTTGCTACAAGTGCCTGCACTTCAGCGTCCGTCCATCTATCGTTGTTCTCCATACTTGCGAAATAAGTTGACAATGTTTACAGTATGTTTACACGGCGTTTTAAATCATGGCGGGTGAGGGCGTTTTCATACGCGTTTGGCCAATCAATGTCTACTTACGTCACGATTAGTACCAATTGTGCTGGTTAGATCCTGCTCCGGAGTAGGAGCTAATTTGGTTCTCGAAAAAGGCAGTCCGGTACTAAAATCGCTCCCAGTTCCGGCGGTGCGAAAACGCCAAAAAGTGGGTAGTTCCACAATTAGTTCTGGTACTATGAAAAGGTTCCTGCGGTGCGAAAGGCCCTATAGTTGTTGTTTTTTTGGTCTAGGTTCCCAAGTAAGTTACATTATTAATATTTTTATACTGTGTCTTTTTTAGAAAATACTGGAAGCTGCGGAGACCTGAAATAAGTGACGGGTGATGACAACAACGCGACAAAAGTACTCAAGGTGTACACATGCTGTAAACTATCTAGTATTATATTTAACTGACTTTGACTTTAAATATGCACTCATTGACAAGTTATTAAAAAAATGGCTTATTGATGCTGTACACTTCTGAATGACAGGGTTTTATTATGTTTTCCCATTTTTGCAGTCGCACGAATTGTTTTATTATTTCTTTATATGTCAATAAAACTGTTACTGGTATAATGAGAGAAGTGAAAATGGGAATCCAATCGGTGCATGTCTGATGGGGTCAATTGACTAGGTTGATTTGGTAAGTTTGTCATAGTACATCTCATTTTTTATTTCTGTCTGAAGCTGTAAAAAAAAAAAGAATGTTGTAAAGAGGTGATTAGAAGTATTTCTCAGACATTGGGCCAAAAAACATTTTTTTTTATTTTTGAGGAATTAAATAAAATTGTTTGAGGACTTGAAATTGTCCATTTTCAATCACTCCAAGTTCTACCAAAGATAGAGCAGTGCCTTTAAACATCACTGTACCATGTTTAACTGTTATGGCTTTTGTTTACAGATGTCAGGCCGCTTCACCCTGTACTGTACTTGAAAGAAGTATATTCAATATTCTCTGCCTGAAAATAAACATTTTAAATATTCAGATAACATACATCCTTTCCACACCTTGGGATGAGACATTTGTGATTGAGACTTTCAGAAGGTGTCCTTTATCAGCCTTAAACTCAGAAGCTGCATTACCAACAAACACTGAAATATTGTAAGAACACCTAAAGTTTTTTTTTAATGACATTAGCGATTCAGTGACCATGTTTTCATGCAAAACATGCTAGTTAGTATTAATCACATTCAGGAACATGCTAGTTTTCTTTTCTTGCTATTTTCCTATTATACTGTCTTTCCATTACACAGCACGTTTATTCAATTTTCATTCATGTCCTTAGCAGCATACAACAGCATAAAACGTAGGGCTTGAAATTCTTTTCCTGTCTGTATACTGATTTATGTTGTTTAAGGTTTGTTCCAAAGTTTTACTTCAGTTAGTTTTTACCAAAGTAACTAATTATTTCTCTTTTCTTTTTTTGATTTTATTTTCTATTGAGCAACCTTTTTTTCAACTTTACAGGTTAATGGATATACTTTCACAAATTTGTAAAAATATTTTTAGAAATGGCATGCAGTTTGTTTCATTGGGATAACTAATTAGTGGCATCCGTGGACTCACTTGAGTGAGAAAAATGTGTTTAGATGGGATTAGACAATTGTATGCATGTAAACACAGTCATTTATCATCTTGTCTTGACATAGAGACTTGCTATTTACAATTCTATTTGACTAATTACACAAATGTGTTTAAAAAGACTAAGGTTTTGGGAGCAAAACAAACAACTCCCTGTGTCTTCTCTTCACTCTTGATGTTTCCTGAAGCTGAGGACTGAGGGCAGTGCGACTAGCCAACTTAAAACTCAATCTAATTAGGGAACCGTTTGTCACACTTTCTGACAGTGAAGCAGTCTCAGCAGTTTCCACTGACCAGCAGTAACACTGACAATATGTAGAACGTGTCTGTGTGCTCGCAAGGTGCTCTACCGACAACACGAATATAGTGTGTTTGACCATTAAGCTGATGCTGGACATGTACTTGGATGAGAAGCGTGTACTTGAGACACCCCTGGTTATTGGAGACACCTTGGCAGCACAAGCGGGCAGTAAATTAAGAGCAAATACATTTCAGCAGCAGGGGCTTGTGGGCAGCGGTATTCTGTCAAGTTTAACTTCTTGCCACATAGTGTCCAGTGAAACTCTGAACCAAGATGTCTTCTATTGTACAGAAAGCCCACAGATAAATAACTTTAATGTGAAATATTACCATTTTACTTCCGTTATGTATTTTGGAGTAACATAAGCTATTCAATGCGAAAAAAAGTAGGGCTCCAACACCAAAAAAAGGACAAAGGAAGTCTGGTTTTAAAGACAACATATTTCACATTTAATTTTTGACATCACCATAGCTATATGTAACTTTTAAAGACAAGTTTCAGCAACAGAACATTTATTAATTTTGCTTCTTCAAAGTTTTTTTTTTTACGTCAGCACATGGTTTGGTCCTGTAACATTTTGTGGTGGTTCTTTTCCTCTGAATGAACGTGGACCAATAATGTCAAACGCACAACACATGCACATGTCATTTTAGCCGTTTACATTAGGGTAGGACAAAGTCAGAGACTGACATTATGCATATAGCACGGTTTTCTTTTCAACCTCTCTTGCTCTGTTTTCAACACTCATATCTAATAAGGCTATATTACAGCTATGAGCAAGAAGTCCAACACTGCATTTCTAAGTGTAGAGCACCATATTTACACCAATATTTACAGACTTTACTTTTAAAACAAAAAGACAAAACAAACAGAAATACTTAAAGATAATTTGGGTCAAGTGAGCCATTTGAAGGATGTACAGGTTTGAAATATAAAAACAAAACAAAATCATATTTACACATAGCTGCAACTTATAGCTTAGCTTATTGCAAATGCCCTTTAAATCTCACAACCGATTCTCTTTCACACTCACAGCCCTGTAGAGCTTTGACTTATTTCTATACCAGTCGATGGTCACCCAATGGCCAACTCTTGAAGCCATATTTCCTGAAAGAGTGGCCATCCACTGAATAAAAGACATCCCATCTATTTATTTATCTGTTATCAGGTGGCCAGGTGACAAAAAAAGCCCCATTATATCCCAACTATAAGCCAGTTCAAGGCTCACATCCAAAACAGCATTTTAAAACAGCAGTTCTTTCAAAAAAATAAACTTTTAAAAAAATATGTACATACTTATAAACATCCCCTAAGGCCAGTCGAATCTGAGACTGGTATATACAGTAACTCAAAGCTGAATGGTACAAGAACAACAGGAGTGAGATAGAGATTATGGTCTGGAACCGAAAATTATTTAATAAGCCAAAGAAGAGTCCTTAATGACTCAACGGTTCTCATTAAAATGTTCAGTACTATACAAGCTGAATACTGTCTGTGAGTTTGATTTTGCTCTGGCAGAAAGGCTAATTATCCCACCTGTATGGTGTTCAAACTACCCTAATTGTAGACTCTACTTATACTGTAGTGCAATTTTAATTTGATAAAAACTAGGATGAACACATTTATGTGTGGGTGTCTCCACAGTGCTGTCTGGGTTGCAAATTTGACAAAACATTAACTTAAGAGGGCATTTCGCAGATGGAATTGTGTATAAATTGCACTTATATTCAAAATGGAAAAAAAAAAAGTGGTGTGACGTGAATCAAGAACATGGTGAATGTGTTTTAATGTTACTCAAATAAAACTTTTTTTTTTAAACTCTGGGTTATCTGTAGCCCCCTTTTGGAAATTATCCATTAAAAATGTCCCTTGTTATTGCAACTGATTGTCACTAACCTCAAAAGTTTATATATACTGAACATTTCTAAATGGTGACAAGGAAACAGTCAATAGCACCTAAAAAATGTGCAAAAAAAAAAAAGTATGCAAAATGGTCTTTCAGTTTAAGACTCATCAGACAGCACTATGAATTAAGAAAAAGGAAAAAGAAAAAGAAAAAGAAAAAAAACAGGGTTTGTTCTTTACTCCCACTATTGCTTTTACTGTATTACCATCTCATTACAATCATATTGGGGCTTAAATTTACAAAACCAGTTGTGGTTTTTATAGGTTGAGTTTCTTTAAGTGCTTGTTTTATGAATTGCCATGTTCTGTTCTACCATACTGTTGGTCTTAATTTAAATCTCTCTTTATTAAAGGTCATTTATTTATACATACAGTTTCCACAACTCTTCACTGATTGGGTGGTGTTGGAATTCATATTAAGAGCGCTTCATTTCAAGGGCTAAAAAAAGCTAAATTAACAGGACTTGGAAAACAAATATTAAATTGTATTAAAGTCTAATTGGGCAAAACAAATAAAGACACAAAAAAGAAAAGGATAGCAGCGTGCACTTCATTAAAAACCAATGGGTCCAAGAGAAGAACTTAATAAGTTGTGAGAATGATTAAGACAACATTGAAGGCAGGTTTAAAGGTCAAGTTGGGATAAAGAGAGGTAATTTACAGCTACTGGTGGAGAACTCAAGTCATCGTATGCTACAAATGTGGCAATAGGAACAATCCACTCTGAGAACCAGCCGTGTGCCGTGCCATCATATGACCTGACAGCAGCTGGCCTGGGCTGAGGCACAGAGTAGCCCATCCCTGGGGCTTCGCTGGATATTCACGGAGATGGTCTTTTCACACAGAGGTAGCTGGAGAACATTATTTTTCAAGTTCAGGTTGTTCTCCTTGACCAGGCCAAGTTCATTTAACATGACCGCCGTTTGGTCTTGATAATGCTCCATTGCCCCAACGCTACCATTCAAGGCGGGGTTGATCACTTTGTCTAGACTGTTGTTGGAGCCAATGCACATCTTCCAGGAGGATTTCTCCTGAACTTTAACGCTGGACAGGCTCTGAGGATCAAGGATAAATCGTCCACCACCACCTCCTCCAGAGCTGCGATGCTGAAACTGAGAACTCAAGCATAGACTCATGAGTTTCAGACTCTCTACCAATTCCCCCGCACTCCGAGCTGCACTACGTGTCGAGCCAGATGAAGCATTGTTACGGGAACAGCTGGAAGGGCCTCCCTGTCCTTTTGAACTCCCACCACCTCCACTGCCCCCTCCTGTACTACCACCATTCCCTCCTCCTGGAGGGCTGCCCTTGTCTGGTCCTGAGTTACCTTCCCCAGGTGGTTTGCTCTGTCCTCCGCTACTTCCACCCCCATTGCCCCCAGAGTCTCCAGGTGGACCCTCACTACTGTCCCTGCGGTTCCAGCTGTAGGTGAACCCTGTGTCTTTGTCTAGTCTTCTGCGATGGCTCTCCGAATCATCATCGCTGGTCTCGGAGCTAGAGCAGCTTGAACCGCGGCCCTGACTTTTGCGCCGGTGGTAGCGTTTCTGAGCCGTACCAGGAGATGCCATGTTCATTTTCAACCGGCTGAGCTTGGGTGGAAGACTCTCATCCATGTCAAAGTCATCATCTGATTCACCTTCCTCCTCGAAGATCTGATTGAGCACTGGGGCGCTTTTTCGAGACGTAAGACGGTTGGTGATGGACAATGGCTTGCGGCGCAAGACCACCTGGGAGGGCAAGGGTGAAGGCTCCGGTTCTTCTTCTTCTTCCTCATCTTCTTCCACCCGAAACAGGCAGGTTCGTTGCTTGGCTGAAGTGGATGCAAGAGGGCCAATGACCCCAGGCTTAAGGGGGTTTGGGGGCAGAGCTGCAAGTGCAGCAGAGCTGCTGGAGGCTTCGCTGATCTCCTCTCTACGACTCATTTCCAGAAGCCCTTTATTGCGATGACCGTTTAGCAGATTCTCTGTACTGCGAGCAGGAGACTGTGGACCTCCAGCATGAGAGATGGACGAAGAGGCTAAGCTGTCCTCGATGTCCTGATGCATGCCGATTTTGGTCGGCCATGACTGCCTGCAAAGAAAAAAAAAAAAGGACATAGTCCTTGATATAAATAACCTTGCTTTAAAAAGAGTACAATCCCACTTAAAGTCAAAACCAAAAAAGAGGTTGTAACTTAAGCAGGATGATATTCAGTAAAGGTGGACATTTCCAAAAACAACTTTTAAAGACAGAAGCTCTGGAGAGTGCCCTAGGAAAACAACCCAAACCCAGACTTCCTTCTTGTGCCAAGCACTCAAGCAAGGACCATGCGATTTACAAGATAACTCTGCATTGTTGCTGTAACTTGCTTTTATAGTCTTTTCTTATATTCTTACCTTCCTGCTGGAGTATTATTTGCACAGCACAGTATGTGCACTTTCATGCAAGTTGCTATGCAAAAATATACTCTGCTAAGGCTTTTGAAACAAAGTAAATCAGTGGAACATAGCTCCAGCACATCCTCTCTAGTTGTCATAACCACATTAACATTCTATAAACCTTATGCTGGAATGACGACAAGTCAAACAATGCAAACAAATACAGCAAATGCCTTGTGTGAATAAACAAATGTTTAATCACACTTCTGGTCAGCGAGAACTATAAAGAAAATCTGTTAGCAAGGATACGGGGCAAAACTTGTGACAACCTTGGTAAAATTTTGCCTACAAAGTCAGTTTTTGCATGGCTTACATTACTATTTCTAGGATATAATGAAGTGCACTTAGTCTGACGTATGAAGCTATAGCTGTGTTTACAGGCCTGATGAGAAAGGATTGTAAACATTCCCATATCTGTTCATCATTAAAGACAGAATTACAGCAATTGCCTAATAAGGTTGGTGCAAATGATGCTGTCAGTCTATGCATGTGGAAATATCGGCATAATATCAAGTCAACCTCATATGTCGAAATAGTGTTCCAGTCAGAATGTATACTCTACTGCTCAACTATATTCTCCTCTAGGATCAGGAATTACAATTCTGAGTACATACAGCCTATAAACTCTTTCTGTATATGAAGGGCACACTGATTAACGAGAACACTGCAATTGTGATCTGGGTTACCTATAGCTAAGGTCAAATTTCAGACTCTGTTTGCTTTTCCATTCGGTTGATATTTCCATGTTGATTTACACACACACACACACACACACACACACACACACAAAACATTTGTCACCCTCTCATGATCCCTGCTGTATCCTGAGGACTCCCAACATCTTCCTCTCCTACTTCTCTTTCCCACCACATCCTCTCATTTCTTCCACTCCCTGCTCCTTTCAAAAAGCATCCGCAGCCTCACTGCTTTTCTAGGTCAGTCCAAACCAATTTCAGCCTCATCTTTTAAACACATTTGTCACCCGGTGCGGTGCTCAGAGAATGTGCTTGCTGTCCACTACGCAGCACAGAGGACAGACAGGGATTCTGAAATCCAGCAGAGCTGACCTCTCACAACCTCTTATAGTGAATCCTGCCCCCTTACTGCACACAGACGCCTTCTGAGAGACAACAAACCTGCAGATAGCCTGCCTGTGCACACCATGGCATGGCAGACTGATTTGAAACTGTTTGTTTTGTTGATGATTACAACAAAAAAATAAGAGCAATGTTGTAAATGGTTTATTTTTCAAACATACTAAGGTATGAGCCAAGTACAAATTGGAAAAGAATGTGAATCACATGGTTTCTCCACCGGCTGACTTTGGTACTAGTTCAAGTTTGTTACTAGGCATGAATGCACAAATCTTCAAATAATTGGGTTTTTTATTCAATTTGTTTTGTTACCATGTCTGTGTTGTGATAGCGTCTGCAATAAGAAATTCCTACATTTTCACTACCATGAAAACCTCAGGGATCCACTGTCAAACCTTTCTAGAAATATAAATCCAACTACATTCCAAGGGGTGACCATGAGATTCAGCAATAAAGGAAGTTACACCCCTTTCCTCCCCAATTTATTTTAATTCTTACTCTAAAGTCAGAATGTTATCATGTAGCACATGGAAAAACCAATTGGTTGTAATTGGGAATGGGTACATAGCACAAAAATTAGAAATGGGAAAGAAAAAGAAAAAAAAGTGACGTGACGTAGCCAAGTATGTTAACCCATACTTGGAATTTGTGCTCTGCATTTAACCCATCCAAGCGCACACACACACAGCAGTGAGTAGTGAACACACACACTGTGAACACACACCCGGAGCAGTGGGCAGCCATTTGCTGTGGTGGGCAGGGAGCAACTGGGGTCTCAGTGCCTTGCTCAACGGCACCTCAGTCATGGGTATTCAAGGTAGAAGAGAGCACTGTACCTTCAATACCCACGATTAAGCTGCCCTTGAGCAAGTTGAGAATCTGAGCAAATGTTTCAAATACCTTCGATATTGAGTTTTGCATGTTGCACCAAAACCCGGTGGACTTAATAAAACATAGTACATAACTAAGTAGCATTTCTCTTGACAAAACACAAATGACTAAATGACAGACTGCTGAGATAGCATAACCCCCATGATGTACCTGAAGTGGGCCTTGATGTTACTGGGGCTGGAAGAACGAGGTTGCACCTCCTTCTCCTGCTTTTCCCTCAGGATCCGTTCAGCCAACAGGAAGTAAGTAGCAGTGATGTGGTTGTACTTGTTTGTCTCCAGGGCTCTGGAGGAAGAGCAAAGAGAATGGACAAGTGAGGAGGATATACAGACAGTGTGAGAGAGAAACACCAGTTTAGACAATTCAATCTGAAATGTCAATAACTAGCAAAACTCTAGGGCTCTAACAACTAGAGACCCGAGTGGCTTCCATCAGTTCAAAAGGTCTTGCATAGTGCCCAACATTTTGAACACCTGAGACTAAAATAACTATGAAGAATCCCAGATAACACACTGCCCCAACACAAATGGGACATTTTGCATCCAACTTTTCAAGCTGGTGAGTCTGGACATGTTAGCAGAGATTAAACTGCTTCTTCGGGGATTACATACCAATGATTGAACAAATTAGTTCAAATCATGTAGCGACAATCTGTCGCTGTATTTGCGTGTGTGTAACAAGAAAATTGTAGAAAAGGAAGAATGACTTGTACATGGGATTTTAATGCAATCATTCAGTACACTTCTTTAAAACATTTTGAGGGTACCTTTAAATGTATAGTTCACCCAAAAATGAAAATTGCCCATAATTTACTCACCCTCAAGCCATCCTAGGTGTATATGACCTTCTTCTTTCCAACAAATACAATCAGAGTTAGCCTATATTTAAAAATATTCTTGCCTTTCCAAGCTTTATAATGGCAGTGAATAGGTGATATTCAATAGTCCAATAGAAGTCCATTAAATAGCCTATAAAAAAAGTGCTTCACACAGCTCAGGGGGATTAATAAAGGCCTCCTGAAGTGAATCGATGGGTCTCTGTAAGAAAAATATCCATATTTAAAACTTTATAAACCGTAATCTCTAGCTTCCACTAACTGGTACGCGCGTACACAAGAGTGGCGTTCCAGCGGATGACGTAGGAGGTAGGCGCAATGTAAGCTCCGGTGAGAATATGCTAGTCTCACGAGAACCAAGTTTTGTTTAGAGGAGCAAAGGAAGCAAAGTTTCCTTTGTTTAGCAAAGGAAAGCCAGTCTCCTCTTGGCTTATATCAAATTCCTCTGACATTTTTCTTTACAAATCCTCGTTTTGTACTTCTAATTTATGACCAGTGTTTTGTTTTGCTCTCTCCTCTGCAATTCCATGTATGTCACCTCTCACCAGAGCTTAGGCTATGCCCACGTCGTACTGGAACACCACTCTCTAGTGAATGGGAGTACGACAGTCAGCGGAAGCTAAAGATTAAGGTTTATTAAGTTTTAAATATGGATATTTTACAAAAACGCATCGATTCACTTCAGGAGGCCTTTAGTAACCCCCCCCGGAGCCGTGTGGAGTTCTTTTTTATGATGGATGGACACAGTTTATTGGACTTCTTTTGAACTATTGAATATCACCCATTCACTGCCATTATAAATCTTGGAAGAGCCAGGACATTTTTAAATATAACTCTGATTGTATTTGTCTGAATAAAGAAAGGCATATACATCTAGGATGCCGTAAATTATGGGGTCATTTTCAGTTTTGGGTGAATTATGGCAGACTGACTACAGTTTTTCATAGTGGGGTTCCCCAGCTGCTGCGGAGTGGGATCAAAGACATAGAAAAGACTGATGGGTGCTTTGAACCGTCACCCAGCATGCACCTTTCTACAAGACAGTGCAGAAGACTCCCGCTGTACAATGTTCGTTTCATGCTCCACTGACAGTGAGATGAACTTATTTTTTAACACTTACGAAAAATGGTACCCTACTACTAATACAGCCATGCTGAATTACAACAGCCTAGATGGACACAACAGAATAAAACATGGATATTCATTTTGAGATTTGGTAAAGATTACAATCAACAGTGTTATCAACTTTAGTGGTGTACCAAAATTAATTTTTTTCACCTAAATTGAAATGAAAAAGTTTTTAATTAGCCGAAAACTGAAACAGAATATAACATCAACGTGTTGTGTTTTCAGGTAATAAATTAAACCAGCCATAGTCAACGAGCCACCTATCAATATTTCAGCCAAAACATTTTTACATATTGCTAAAATAGTATAATTTTTTTGTCACAGTAAAGTACATCCACACAGCTGACATGTTTACCTGTTGTTACTTATCCGTGCTGTTTGTATGAAACTGATGCTGACGTAGTCAAAATGCATCATCAGAGAGACACTATTTAAACATCACAGTTTTAGAGGGCAGAAATCATTAACCAAAACAATTTTAGTTGCTGAAATTTGGGTGCATCACTAATTGACTGTTTAGGCTTGCCCCAATAATATTCAGATCATTATAAAGGTCTCATGTTTCAACGGATTTAAAGATAATTTAAGTAACTGCTTGATTCAATAATGACAGATACAGATATTAGAAAAAAAAAATCTCTAATATCGGCCAATAACTGACATGATACCAATATATTGTGTATCCCTACTTCAAATGGCTCATTAAAATAAATACATAAAATATAAAAGTACATACAGCTGTTCAAATAGTTATAAACAACATTATGCATGAAAATTATTTTCAAACTGTTGCTCCGCCTTTACAGTAGTTGACCTGAAAAGAACACTTATGACAGAGACGACAGTTCAGGTAACTATGTTTTAGTGCCCTTTGTGGCAACACTGCAGACTGACTACAGTTTTTCATAGTGGGGTTCCCCAGCTGCTGCGGAGTGGGATCAAAGACATAGAAAAGACTGATGGGTGCTTTGAACCGTCACCCAGCATGCACCTTTCTACAAGACTGTACAGCGGGAGTCTTCTGCACTATGTTCGTTTCATGCTCCACTGACAGTGAGATGAACTTATTTTTTAACACTTACGAAAAATGGTACCCTACTACTAATACAGCCATGCTGAATTACAACAGCCTAGATGGACACAACAGAATAAAACATGGATATTCATTTTGAGATTTGGTAAAGATTACAATCAACAGTGTTATCAACTTTAGTGGTGTACCAAAATTAATTTTTTTCACCTAAATTGAAATGAAAAAGTTTTTAATTAGCCGAAAACTGAAACAGAATATAACATCAACGTGTTGTGTTTTCAGGTAATAAATTAAACCAGCCATAGTCAACGAGCCACCTATCAATATTTCAGCCAAAACATTTTTACATATTGCTAAAATAGTATAATTTTTTTGTCACAGTAAAGTACATCCACACAGCTGACATGTTTACCTGTTGTTACTTATCCGTGCTGTTTGTATGAAACTGATGCTGACGTAGTCAAAATGCATCATCAGAGAGACACTATTTAAACATCACAGTTTTAGAGGGCAGAAATCATTAACCAAAACAATTTTAGTTGCTGAAATTTGGGTGCATCACTAATTGACTGTTTAGGCTTGCCCCAATAATATTCAGATCATTATAAAGGTCTCATGTTTCAACGGATTTAAAGATAATTTAAGTAACTGCTTGATTCAATAATGACAGATACAGATATTAGAAAAAAAAAATCTCTAATATCGGCCAATAACTGACATGATACCAATATATTGTGTATCCCTACTTCAAATGGCTCATTAAAATAAATACATAAAATATAAAAGTACATACAGCTGTTCAAATAGTTATAAACAACATTATGCATGAAAATTATTTTCAAACTGTTGCTCCGCCTTTACAGTAGTTGACCTGAAAAGAACACTTATGACAGAGACGACAGTTCAGGTAACTATGTTTTAGTGCCCTTTGTGGCAACACTAAAAGAATAAGAATTCATGACAACTTGTGTTGTGTAATGAATTGCATTTGGACATATTTCAGAACACAATAATGTGTGAAATCGTGTAGCTAGAAGCTTAAGTGTTACTGTATTGCATAGAGTACTTTTTGGGCCTAAGATGTTGGCGAAGATATATTACTTGACAGTAGTGCCATTTAAACTGGATTGAACACTCTTTTGCTACCTATTCCCTGTCCAGCTAACTCATCTTCAGGTGAAGAACTTTGACACCCTTTACACTAAAATCTTAAAGCTTATTCCACAAACCTGACGGCACTTTCTAAAGTAGTCTTTCATTTCACGACAGTCCTGCTTAAGGAAAATCAAAGAATGACAGAGAGCTATTTCTTCTGTGGAAAATACTGTACATTAGCCTGAGGATATCAGAGATCCCAGCTTCATAACATTTGTATCACAAGCCTACAACAAGCCTTACTCGATGATGGCTTCTCTGTCGGCTATTTCTCCCAGCACCATGCGTTGGATGATGCTGTTGTGTTCCTCTTCTGACAGATTCTTGTGAGACACCAGTGGGGTGTTGAATTTGGTGGCTGGAGATGGGTCCACTCCTTGAAGCCACGCGTGGCTCTCGATCTCCTCTAGCGATGCTCGCCTCTTTGGATCCCTTTGTAGCATTCGGTTTATCAGGCTGTGAAGAACAGGAAGAGAAGATGAGGATGCAGGAGTTTTTTTAACATTTGAGCCTAATTCTAGACACTGCTCAGGACTTAACCCTGGACTGTGTCATGGTTTTACAAGTGATTGATTTTGCTGGAAACCCAGGATTATTTCAGGGCTTGTCCAACATTTATCTGAGGGTAAATGCTCAATGATAGTCAGGGTATTAAAGGGGTCATATGATGTTGCTAAAAATAACATTATTTTGTGTATTTGGTGTAATGAAAAGTGTTTATGCGGTTTAAGGTTCAAAAACTAGGGATGTTAATTTTAACCGGTTAACCGTTAACCGACCGTAATAATTTTTAACCGATTAATACAATCGGTTAAACGGTTTAAAAAGTAATTTATTTATTTATTTCAGTAATTTATCAAAATATTTAAAAAGGTTTTGTGCATGGTTAAAATACGCTACGCGTATTGCTGTATTGCTATATGATCCTGAAGTGGCGTAAAAGTCGCATTTTATTATTTCATTCAGAAATAGGATGCCTAATAACTAATGCCGACGCGAAATGTTTACAAACATTATAATAAACACTGTAAACATAGCTAGGCTATTTTAGTTCCCCTCACTCCACAACAAATCCTTTTAATTAAAAGCATTTAGAAAAGAACAAGAATTAAATATTAGAAGATATAGCTATATAAACGACAAGCCAAAATGAATTAATTTAGGCTAAAACGAAACTGAAACCAACGTTGGGTCTCTCATTCGACACAATCAAATGATTCCATATTCTCGATGTATTTGAATGCCAAAATATTATCTATTATGTAGCCTACTTCACTGGCGTTCCAATATCCATGTAAAACAAAAGGTTTTGCATAACATCATAATGTAAACATAATTTGTGATAACGCACAGCACAGATTTTACTTCATATTTAAACTGAGCAGTGTGTTTTTTTCCATATGTTTGACTGACTGTATTTTATTATGATAATGAACAGGCTGCATTGTCA